GAAAGTCCAGAAAAAATGAATTTTTTTTCATTTTTGCATGTTGTTCTAAGTCAACGTATACTCTGATATAAGGGGAATATTGAAGGGCATGCATTACTGAGTAATTTAATGAATGTTGGCTGCAGTATTTGGAAATCCGAATGCTACTGGCACCGTTAGCGGGTTAGGTAAGACCAGGAGGGTTTCTCGCAACGATTGCTTTATTCTAGGTCTATAGGAAAAGTGGATTCTCCAGCCCGTAAACTCTCGCTTATTTATTGGGGTTCCGGCGGTTCTCGAACATTCTGGTCAATAGAACATCCTGGCCTACAACGAGCTACACTCTGATTGGTCATTACTCATGCGGATACTTCTCGAATATTTAGATCGCACGCGTAAGCATAGGATTCACTCGTACTTGACTCAGTAGCGCACGCTGATTGGTTGTCTATTTGCCCATGTGTAGTTCCCAGTCGGCTTAATTTGTTGAGCCTCTCTTCGTCACGTGTTCTTCTCGAATTAGACCGCGACTCCTTACCTGAGCCTCTCAAGGGGCCGCGTAGTAGATGTGCTGGACAAGCACCAGGGTCAGCTCAAATCATGGGACGGCAGACGTTATGCTAGTTACGCTCTCATAACAAATGCCACATACGGGTGGGCGTTGGGGGCGCGCGAATACTCCTAAAACTAACATCTTATTCAGCCTAACTTTAGGGAATCTGAATGATAGTATACTGAACTTAAAGGCTCTTTATCTAACAGTATTAGGTGCTGTCGCTTGTATTGCCAAAAAACTAACTTGTAATTTAGCTTCTGGGTTCAATGAGTCAACGATCACCTGTTACCATTGTGTTCTACTATTCATCGCTAACCTACTTTCAGTTCAAAAATGGGCAAAACTGTCTTGTAGGGTCGTCTAACTATCTATTCCCACACACGATTCTCTTACGGAATAGGTGGTTCAACATTTAATTCTTGGTTAACGAGTGTAAATGACTTTTTTATTGTGTTGAACGTGATCAAAAAATATTAAATTAAAGCCACGTATAATTGTTTTAATGGGCTAAGTATACTCATTCCCTTATAATTAAATTCATTAAAATAAATTCCTGTTGTCCAAGCAACTGAGGCCTACTGATAGAAATTTGACGTTATATTGGCGGAATTTAACCAAAACGGGAAAAGTAGGGCTAGTGAAAATGTAAAAGTAGTTTATTTTTATACGTCAAATGCAAATAGGACCTTTAACGACAGCCCCACCCAAAAATGTGATCTGTTTTCCTTTGCATGCGAAATCTAGATCGCTCTCCTCCGCTACAAACTGCTCTTCTCACCTGATGTAACCAGAGCCGACGCTGATTCCCTCAAAGCCGCCCTATCAAATCTTGACAAAGCCATTCAAGGTCCCTACCTCATGGGTACGTCACTTTACACCTAGCACGTCTTTATTTGCTTTTCAAAACGGACTGCGCTGGGCAAAAACACGAGCAGGATTTGTCATGATATCCGTCCATTGAGTCACAGTATGTTTTTGTGGGCTCCTAGTTGCTGCTTCCAAAGAGTTAGCTCGAACCCGTGACCTTTGATTAACCGATAGCTTTTCTGGCAAAGACCAGGAAGACTGGACTGGACATTTCTGGCTTATTAGCTGTCATCAGCCAGTGATTCGCAGACCCAAGTGGTGCTTCAATTGAGGCTCAAACCCGCGAACTTCTGACCAGAGGTTTCCCGTTGTGATATTTGATACTTTATTACTTTAAGTTATCTGCGTATTTCGCTCAAGTAGGCATTATATCCGTAAGCTTATATATATCTGGTCCGTAATTTATGAATTGGGGTTCAGGATTAGAATTAAGTTTTAAGTCTAACAAAAGAGGTAGCTGTGATTGATAGGAGTTAAGGTTTAACTTTAGGACTAGACGTTGAGGAATCCAAAGTAGCGGGTCGAGTTATAATTTACACTTACATTTAGGATTATAGGTAGGCTTTATGATTACAGCTTATCGTTAGGGCTTAGAGTTTAGGCAATTAGTTACCACACTGAGCAATGCGTTACTTTCGATCCCCTAGCTATTTCTTTCGGCTTCTGTGTTTTCTGTCCGTGTACAGGCAACTTACACACTACCATTCAATTTGTGCGCTCCTCTCATCGAGTTCGTTTGGCGTATTTAAGCAACATTCTGGGTTAGCGAGGGAAACAGAAATACACTTTCTTTGAATGTGGCATCCAAAATTTTCAGCAAAAAGTGCTTCCATTTACTGAGACTAGGCGATAAATTAACAATATACTCAAAAATCCAGAATAGCATCCAGCGAGACGTCAGTGCAAGACTTTAACTATACTCGACAAATTGTGCTCTCCACGCTTGATTAAACACTGACCCTAAGGTGTTGGTATTCTCAGATTCCCTCAGAGTTTCCCACCTTCACATATAAAACTAGCCATTCTTGGTGAGACCAACTTTACTTTTGACCCGCAAGGGGCAACCATGTAGGCGCTTGAAGCAGGGCTCTTAGATACCATATCTCTCAACAGACATCAAAATTTTCTTGCGGCCGATAAGGTCTTGTGCTATTAGGTACATAATGACCAGGACACGTTCACATGGAACTAATTGAATATAAACGAAAGCGACCCCACGACGAACTCAATAAAAAATGAATCAGGCTTACCATTACTTCCCAACCTGATGACGAAACGCAACACCGGTAACCATCCAGCTTAACAAACGGCCATTGGACGGCTGACACAATAAACGAGATAGAAAGTGTTGATCAGCCCAAGACCGGCACATTTGGCCAGTTATTTAAACCTCTCATTGAAATTGACAGTAGAAACTTTGAAAATTAAAAGCTGGAAAGACAGCATCCATCCATACCCGTTCCGGTGAACTACCTAAAGTTCTCAAAAATGCAAATTAACAGACCTTTTACCTTTTCTTACATTCGAAGGTAAGGAATTGAGCCTGGCAGATCTGGCCCTCTTTCCCTTCCTGCATGCCTGGGACCTCTTGATTAGCCGCCTAAAGGATGTTGGTGATGACTCCGATGAAAGTGCCGAGCCCGTAGCCCCTCGCTGGCCTAACGTGCTGAAGTACTGCCAGCTGATGAATCAGAAGCCCTTCATCATGAAGACCGCCTTCCGTGATGATGAGTTTAGCAAGTACATGGATACACGCCTCCAAGCTGCTAGGCCCTAGTTTCGTGGTGCCCTCTCATCCTCGGATCTATGGATGCATGTTTTTTTTATTTTTCCGCTCACTTCTCTTCTGATGATTAATATGCTTGTATCTCTCGCACTTTTCTAACGAATTTTTGCTTCTGAATACCCTTTGGTATAATTGCTGCCTTGAAACAGAATTGGGCAGTTTGCTTGTCAATCAGAGAGAACAAGTCTGCAGTTTTCTCACTATAACGCACATAGGTATACTGAGCAAAGACGCCGCAATGCGATAACACGGCAGAAAAATAAGAAAATATAACAACTTCCCGCTGAAGTATTTTCTCTAAGCTGCTGTCTCCATATATCCTTCTGCTCTGTGTTTGTGGACTTCACACTTTTCGAATAACTGCAATCTTCATCTTCTGTCATACAGGAATCAGCACTGATTTTGATTTGCTTGAATAAAAGTTTTTCTGGTCGCAAGCGGTCTGCTTCTTATGTGGACTCAACCGTTCTTCCACAGAGCCTCCCCATGAAATACTCTTATATGTTTAGGCCAATAAAAATTGCAGAGTATGGGCGTATATTGCAAATTCTGAGAAGGTATTTAGAAAAACAGAGAGGAAAAGATTCTTCGAAAAACTTCAGTTGTACTTTGAGAGCTGGGGACACCAGCCCACTGTGAAGCGAAATGAAGGTAAGGGATAAAGTGAGATTGTCACAGTAGACCATTTGGCGCTACAGGTCAGACGGACCAATGCGTTCGAGTGGCTGTGGTCACGGGGTCACGCTGTTTTCCTGAGCGGGATGGTGAGGGAGAGAAAGGTATTACGGCTCCCTGTATTGGGGGGCACGTTGGATCAGTTGGCCATGGGTAGCTGGATGTGGCATCGGTAAGTCTTGAACTAAGGCTCCCATAAGCAGTCCATTTCTCACGTAGCCCACATTCTTCTTCTTCTTCTAGGAAGGATGAACTGTAGCGATCAAAATATGCAATGCAGACCCTCAGCATATATACAACACAATTTGGGAATATTCTTAGTGAAATAAAAAGGAGGAGGCCCCTCGAAAACGAGGTGAACTAGTGATTTGTTGAGGTGCTGGCTCTAGCCCGTGGTCAGGCGAAATTAAGCCAAGGAAAAAATGGCATTATCACATGGATACAGCTGGTGGGACCGTTTGCGGTGGAGATGATGGTCCCAGATTCAGGATAAGTTTCTGAAAGGAGAGGGCCGATAGGGGAAAGATGAATGGCAAGTCAGTTGGAACGCGGGTGGTTGGATTCGCAACCG